AATTTATTTTAAGCAGCAAGATTGGACATACTATTTCTGTTAGCTAATTTGATTTTAAAATTAATGGTGATTTTATAATTGTGGAGGGGGAATAGAGATATTAAAGAAAATAATTTATCTTTTTTGTATAAAAATTTACAAAACAAACTAGCTTATATCTTCCTTTGATTCAGGGGAGAAGTGCAGAAGCAAGTAATGACTTTAGATTTTATACTCGGAATATGGGAATATTTTTTTTCCAAAATAATATCTTCCAAAATCTGTTAAACAGAATGATTTTTTTATTGTACAGTACGAGAACATGCAATAGATAAAATGTAACCAGTAGTACAGCTGACTACATACATCTAATGAAAGTCTGCAAGTATCAAATGGAAAAAATTGAATCAGAATGTGTAACAAATAAAAGCATCTATGAAGCTGCAAGTCTGCCATCTGCTGTTGAGTGGTTTTGAGCCAGTCTGCACTGCTCAGAGCTTAGTTATCTTTTAGTACTATTAAAATACTGTTATGCTTCTGAATATTTTTTGTGTATAAGTGTGTGTGATAATGATGTGATGAGCTATTAGAACTTTTGTCAGCATAATCAAGGCAAAAATCTGTGGAAATGATATCTACATTCTTCCTAGCCCTGGGTAGCAGGATTACTACAAACCCACAGTTAGTTTTTTTCCAAAAAATTGTTACTGATCAGTGGTCTTCCCCTTTGATCATTATTACTAACATCCCTTTCTAACTAAAAATAACTTGTGAGAAAATGCAGTTTCCATCATGATGTCTTACCATCAAACATCTAAAGTAGCCTCAGTTCTAAGCAGACTGTGCAGCCAACAGTTTCATTTTTACTTCAGTAAATACTGTTTTGGTGATTTTGGAAAAAAAAGCTGTCTTGCAGTAGCTCAGGACTGCACAGAAGATATTCTCAGAAGGAATATCTGAGTTCTTCATAAAATAGTGACACTATTAAATGCAGCAGTTCAACATAAACATAAGAAATCGGAGTATTTAAATACAATATTATTTCAGATGGGGACAAAGCTATGATTAGAACATTTATAATTAATTTTTTCTAGTAAAAAAATTCAAGTTAAAAATGTAAAAGATAAGGGGAGGGGGAAATATTAAGAGAAAAATTGTAGAAATTGTAATATTTAGAAATTGTAGTATTAAAAATCATATTTTGTCCGAGAAGTGCCTCTGGCTTTTTCTTTTTGTATGTTGCTTCCTAATGAAATCGGTGTGTGATACCAAAATGCTATGCTTAACATTTTCCTCAAATGGAAAATATTTTGCTATGAACTTTTCCTCATTCAGTTCTGTTGTGCTGAATAAGCAGAGACAGGGTTTTTCCTAGTCTATTTATAGCTTGTATGTAATCACTATGGCAACATCTGGCTGATCCATTCACCATATACTGAAGTGTATGAGCAGCTTTCAGTCTAAGAGTATCCCTTTGCTGGAGAAAAGGCTTATCTGCATAGAATTATTCAAGAAAAGTAAATCTGAATCAAAAGTGTCAAAAAGATATTTAAAACTATATTTTCAAATTTACTGATACAGAATTGAGGTTATCTCATTTATTATTAAACATTTCTATTGTAAATTTTTGTTGATTTAAAAATATGTTGTTACCCCTAATGCCTGTGGTTTGTTTCTGAAATAAGATGACATGTTGTTTAGAATTTTTGTCAAACCTTTGCTTGCACTCCAAGATTCGAGGTATGTGTTTTTAAGGCAGCAAAACTAATGCAACAATGGAATTTGACATTTGAGGGACTAAAAACATAGTGAAGCTGTCAAAAGTCTTAAATGGAAGTTTTACATAGTCTGGTTACAATTTTTAATTTTGAGTACATCCTCTGCAGGCATACACCAGCTGTGCTCAAATAGAGTTAAACATTGAATGTGCGCAATCTTGCCTGTTTATGTAGCTGTGCAGTGGAAAGTTAGTAGGTCCATCACAGAATACAAAGCAGTCGTCTTCTCTTTCCTACTGGATCAGAAAAAGCTTCATATTTCTGCTTAGATTTTCCTTCTCTAGCTGGTGAATTGGCAACAGAAGACTTACAGACTTTGCAGCCATATATGCCTGAATCAAGCAGAAACTGTTTTCATTGGACAAAGAAACAGTTAAAATAGAAACCGCGTACCACTGGTTTTACTTTCTCAGAATTTGTCTTTCTTTTGTTAAAGTACTGTCAGCTAAATCATTTGCTATACTCTTATAACTCTGCAGTTTGTTAGCTGATACTTAATACCCCTCATTCTTCAAAAATCCTTCAGAAAAGAAGTAACATACATGTTGATATGTAGGTCTCTTTCCTACAGAGTTCTGTGAAATTGACTGAGTAAATTATTTGTAAGTCTAAACTAATTTTTGAAGACTATATGCATTTATTTCAGGAGCCCAAATGCAATTCTTAATCCGCAGCAAGGTTTTCTTGTAGACAAAGGAAGGTCTTATTGCTAACAAATGGCTGGAAATTAGAAAAATGTCCCATGCTCTGCTAATCAGAATGTTTCATGTCTATGAAGATTGCTCTATTAATATCTATAATAGCAAAGTCTATATTGAAGATCATCTTCAGTCATACAGAGAATGTAGAAGCCAACTCCATTCTAAAAACCAAAATAACAGCTGTCCTTGATCAAACCAAAGGTCCACCAGGCAGTGTATCCTGTTTCCCACAACAGTTTGGCAATGGCGGAGGCCAAAGCAGGTAGAGAATCATAGAATCATAGAATAGAATCGTTTAGGTTGGAAAAGACCTTTGAGATCATCCAGTCCAACCATTAACCTACACTACCAAGTCCACCACTAAACCAGTTAAGGGCAGAGTAGCAATTTCAGGTTTCCTGGCTTGGTGGCTGGATTATTTTTTAATGAAAGTAAAACCAGGAATCATTAAGGTTGGAAAGAATCTCTAAGTCCAACTGTCAACCCAATACCACCATGCCTACTAAACCATGTCCCCAAGTGCCACGTCTACCCATTTTTTGAACTCTTCCAGGGATGGTGACTCCACCACCTCTCTGGGCAGCCTGTTCCAATGCTTGACTACCCTTTCCGTAAATAAATTTTTCCTAATATCCAACCTAAACCTTCCCTGGCGCAGCTTGAGCCCATTTCCTCTCATCCTATTGTTACCTACTTGGGAGAAGAGACCAACACCCACCTCGCTACGACCTCCTTTCAAGTAGTTGTAGAGAGCGATAAGGTCTCCTCTCAGCCTCCTCTTCTCCAGAAGACCAGGGCAAGCCGTGGGTTTTATTGTGAATAGGTTTAAGAATTCTGTCCCATACCATGTAACATTATGTACTCAACTAGCATCCTTTATTTATAAGCAGATTTTCCCCTATCTTTGTTTAAAAGGAAAAAAAAAAAAACCAAACCCACAAAATTAGATAATTGTTTGCTTTTTTTTCCGAAATCAGCTCTGGTTTCTTTGTGTTGCCTTAAAACTCAGAAGAGACATTGCATTCCTTTGAAACTCTTCTCTGAAGCAAATAATTAAATAAATTCCCACTGTCCCTGAGAGGCTATTTTTACTGAATTTCATTCTCAAAAATAGAGATAGCATCTGATAGTTTAGTGTAAAAATGCTAATTTTCTCAAGTACAGAAGGTTTTATAGGACCAAATAGTAAGAAAGATTTCTTTTTTACAAAGGTCACATGGAAATATATTTCTGGGTTGCTATGTTAGTTTATAAGTTGCAAGTGCTCTTGCTGTTGTTGTTAGTTTGTAAAAATTAAACCAATAAGTTTGTTATTCTATATTTTCTCATTTAAGCTGCATGAAATGTTAAATGAAAATAGCACAAAGTGGAGAAAATAAACCGGATATTTGAAATTATTCAGTGTTAATGACATGAAAAAAGTGACTAAGGACACTTGCTTTTATAAGTATTGTTAGCTAGACATTGGGTTTTATTGCAGAAAGACTTTTTTAAACAAACTTTTAAGAAGTTGTTTAATTATGGTTTCCTAGTTTAATGCATAAGTAGAAGTTTGTATTGTTTACATTTTCAGGCTTCATAAGACTGGTGACACAAGTCTGTGCACTGCTTGAGTCAGCTCAGGCCTGGGTGCTCACTGATATTTCTAGGTATGAAGTAGCACTGAACCATGTGGACACAGCAGCTTAGGACTATGATCATTTGGCCTCTGAACTCTTCGGTCTCCACAGTCAACAAACCTTCTGGTCTTTTTGCAATCCTTATTATACACTCTTGCAGCCGAAACTGCTGCTACTGCTTCTGCCTGGTTTTCCTCTCTATTGATTTTTTTGTTGCAGTTCTTGTCACCGGTGGTTTCTTCCTTTTCACCTGTTTTCACCCTTGCGTTAAATCTGATGGCTCCCACGCTTCTGTATTTCGTAGCTGTGTAATGGGAAAATACAGCAGGGAGATACATCAACAATATATTAAGTGTATATAAATATTTGGAGCTAGAACCTTGCTGTAATGTGCATTGAACAAACGCTGCTGATGGTTTTTGTTTTGCATTAAAGACTTGTAAATTTGGGTAGATCTTCACAAATGTGGCAAAAACCACATGCTTGACATGAAGGCCTGAAACAGATTAAAAATTCCTACACTAAAACTAAGGGCTACCAGAGTTTTTCAAGTTAAAAAGCTCTGAAAATTTTATTGTCTAGCCTTGCAAAACAATGCTTTTCGCTACTCTCTGTTATGGAAATGGCTAATCTGTTTGACAGGTATCTTTTTCCACCCATCCTGTACCTCTCTGCCCTGCCTGCAAGACATCAGGCCTGAGCATATGCTCTTGTGAAACTTTTCAACCCAAAGGGTTACAATCTGGTCAAGTTATGTGTATTAGACAGTTGGTGCTACAGATCAGTCTTACTGATCTCATTTGCTAAGGAATCAGTAGAGAAGAGAATGTAAACTGGTTGAAATGCAGACGCGTATCCCGAATGCTGCTTAATCTATTTGCAGGGCTGTGTTTTAACTTTTTTTTTTTTTTTTTTTTTGGTAGAGCAACTACATGGTGTTCATGGCAGAATTGTTCTGGTGGTTTGAAGTGGTGAAGCCATCATTTGTACAACCTCGTGTTGTGGGGCATCCCCAAGGTAATTATATTAAGGATCAGTTTTGATATGCATGTTTTTAATATGTATGTGTACAGATTGCCATTGTGTTCACAAATACAGTGAATATTTTAGTTAACAGGATTTGGTGGTGTACAGCCCCCTTAAAGAAGCGGCAAAGTACTCTTTCCTCATGTTAATCTTCCTCTCATCTCATAAATCATAATTAGATTTTGTTGTCTATTACCAAAAACTCATTTAAACTGTTGTGGTATAATCACTTGCAAATTTTCCTGACCTAAACAAGCCTAGAATCCATTTATGCCCATGCAGGGATTACAAACATAATAAGGAGCCAAGAACAGAATTTAGCCTGAAGAGCTTGTATTGCTGAGAAGATACCAAGAGAAAGGAACATAAATCTGGAGAAAGTGGACAGATAGTTAATTGTAAAATTGCATTTTGTATCTGGGTGCGAAGGCACAGTCTTTGATTAGTAAATTCTCAAATTTAAAAATCCACCTCTGAGGTAGGTCTTGAGATCTGTTAATGAGTATAGTCATAGTAACTTAAACATTCATATGGTAGTGCTGTGATTGTCTCTCCAAGAGCTACGAAGAGATTTTCATCGTGTGGCTTTTATACCTTTTTTATTTATATGCTTTATAGCACATACAAATCTGATGTAAATCTTTTAAATATTGCTAACTAACTTAGGATATGACCAAAATACTATTTTCTAGCTGAAAAGTCAGTCTAAGGGTTTGGGGAAAAAATTTTTAGCAGAAAAATTTCTTCCAGAAGAATATTTTTGCTAAAAAGATTTCTTGCTTTTACTTTTGTAGCTCTTTTTCAGTTTTTTAAAAATTATTGTTTCTTCCCTTGCCTTTTCGAGTCATTTTTGTCATTGTCCATTCCCTTAGTGCCGGTATGGGAACTTTGGAGGAGGTAAAGCTGAAAGGAAGTAATTGGGTTTTAATCTATGTAATGGAACCAATGCAAATTCTTTAAATCTTTGGAAATTATTACTTCTGATTATTTCAGACAGCTTTTCTACTATGGATTTTAACTAAATATTAAATGATAATAACTTGAGCTTTTTTCTTCCTGGCAGCTGAACCAACAAAAGATGCAGCTTCTGCTCACAGCTTGAATGCTAACAGAAGAAATTATGTGGATAGCCCATCTGGTTCTGACTTCGTAGCCAGGTAATGTCAGAGAATCACTAATACTGTTTCACAGTCTTCTCCTTTCTATTCAAAATCACACACAGGTTTTTTTTTTTTTCTTTAGTTTTGTTGCTTTTTTGCAATACTCAAGGATTGAGTTACCAAATGTAATCTGTAGAATTTTGTGGAAGATCCCATAGTTCAGCTATTTCCCCCACTGCCCCATTGCATGGCAGGCAACACGTTCACGTTTGTACAGCTCATGTTTGCCACTTGGACAGTGCACTGTTGTCTTACCAGCTTCCAAAACAACCCTTAAAATTCAGCAGAGAAGTGTCACATGGCCTCCTTGTCCTATTCAGTTTCATGTGGGGCTGCTGACCAAGTCTGCTCTGAAAGAGCTATTTTTCCAGAATTCACAGCAAATTTTCCAAAAATGGTAAAGAAAGTAAACTAAGATAATGGCAAAAAAAAGTGTGATGGTTTTAGTTTGGTCTGATTACATTACTTAAGTACCATGAAGGTCAAATAGGTAAAAAATAGATACTTATGCTATGATGAACTTCCCAACTCTTGTGAGCAACAAGAATGGAAAGCTAACTGCTTTATTAAATATGTTTTGCATTATTTGTAATTTTTGTAAATGTATGTGAAACATTTTTTTTTAGTATTACTGTTACAGATTTGGAAGCAATATAAAAACATCCTGTTTCTCTTGTGTTCCCTAGCTGATCTCACATTTGATAAGAGGCAGAAATTGCACGTTAGGCCTTCTTTTTAACCTTTCTTTTTAAAGGGTAAAGAAAGCCTCCCAGAGATCTGATCTGAACATAGTGGATGAGGGGTAGTATTGCATTATATTTATAATTTGGGGGCAAAGGTTTATTGATTGTGTCTGAACTGACACAGAGGAGAAGGATAAAATTAGCATTTTAATTGGATATTCAGCAAATTGTTGGTTGCCAACCCTGTTCAGCTTTTTCTGTTGTTTTTGGGTGGGGTGTTTCATTGGTTTGTGGGTTGTGGTTTTCGGGTTTTTTGTTTTTTTAGTTTTTAGGAATCTATGTTGACTTTAATCAGGGAGTAATACTTCTTACTATCATTACATGCTGTGATTCTGAATCTCTTTCCTGTGTGTATCTGAAGTGTTTCCCGTATAGACAATTAAGTTATTTTAGTGTAAACTGAGCATATAAGCCAGGAGAACAAGAAACAGTAGTTTTGAACGTGTCTTTTGGAACAGGGGTTCCCAAGGCCATTCGCACCTTGCAAAGCCATTGCAAGCAGTCCAGCAAACAGCTTGTAACTATGACTGCCATACAGAACAAAGAAAGGTTTGCAGAAAAAATCACTATTTCTATTTGGCTTCTAACGTGATGTCCCCCTTTTAGAGCCCTTCATGAACAAAACTTCAGTGACTTATCTTCTGGAAGTTCTATGAAGATAGTAAATCATATGTCAGTTACACTTAAAGACAAATTAGACTAAAGAAACGCAGAGTTCTGTGCCATACTTATTCTTGTGTTGTAGTAGTCACTGTGGAGAAGATTTTCGTTAAATATGAAGAAGGTTACTAGATTAATACTGGACAACACAAAAGAAGTCTATCTGTAGCCTTGACTCTGTAAAAAAAAAAAAAAAATACCCACAGCTGAAGCCATTAACCATGCATTTATCACAGCTCTGACAAATTCTGTCAGTAACATAGTATCTTTTTCATTCAAATAAATCTACCTTTTCTCTAAATGTGTACACTTTATGCAGATGGTTTCTTCCTCTAAACTGAAGAGGACTGATTGGAAGTTTTACAAAAAGCATCTGAATTCAATTTATAAACGTTTAGAAAAGCGTTTAGATTTCTTAGTGCCATTACCATTCCAAATTTAACTATCAAGTCTGTAAGTTGCCACCAATGTGTTTTGTAATATCGCTCATGTTTCCTCAGACATGTTCCAAGATATAGTAAAAATCATTGTGAACCCCTTATGGGTGGTGGATTGCATATTGTACTAGCTCATCACAACACTGTCTTAGTGTCTCTACAAGTGATGGATATGGTTTTGTGTTGGAGTATTATGAGAGCAATCCATGAGAATGAGCTATATCTTTCCTCGTAAACCAGTAAACTTCATCCAACTTGATGATACTTTGCTACACTGTAGGACAAAGGAAGGGCCTAAGAAGCTGTCTCAGGTGGCAGGAATCTAACACGCAGGCTGCAGGTTCCCTGGCAAAACAGACCTGACTGCAGGATGTCATGGTCCTGGCTTTCATCCTTGTCCCGACTGCACATTCCTGTCCCCTTGAGTGTTTGACATTGTCATTTCAGTGCACAAAGACAGAAAAAACTAACCCAGTTAGAAAAAGTGATTGTTTTTCTGCTGGCTTAACTTGTTCAAATGACTCAGGGGATCGGATGCAGAGCCAGATCCAGCGCAGAGGAGAGAGTGGGACTGTGGCAGCAAGCAGTTACGATGTCTGAGGTTGCCATGGAACCACAGTCATGGTGCCAGAATCAGTTTTGTCTTGAAGGAAAATGAAGTGTATAGATTTTTTTGTGGTAGCAAATTTTCATAGGCTGCTGGGTGAAATTTTGAAAGCATGCTTTTCTTTTAAGATGACTTCTGATATCTATGATTTTAAAATTTTCACAGAAATATCAAATGCCATTTAAAACAGATATGTCATGTAGCTAGTGTGTAGTGTTATTAACAAAAAATCAGGAATTTATGAGAACCTATTTTGAATAATTTAATATATACTTATGAAAGATGTTTTTGTAGATTGTAAAACAACAATTTTTTTTTAAATTGATGTGAATATTCTTCCTACAAATATTATTTAGAAACATTTCTACAGCATACAATCTATAAACTATAAAAAGCACTAAACAAATATTTTGAAAATTACTGATTGAAAAAAGGGAGTTTGGGAGTGTGCTCTTCAACTCAGTGAATAAAATTCAAAACATGAAAGGATTTAATCCAGCATGGTTTTGAAGTCTGGCTTCTAAAGAAGTGTTTTACATACAAATGCATGTGTGTCTATGCATGTGTCTTTGTTCTGATCCTGAAGAAGCACCTTGATCAAAACACTGAATTATGTTAATCCTGTTCTGGATTAACACAGCTAGTCTATTACAGACTTTCTCTATGAACCAAAAAAAAGTTATCTGTTGTAAGTAGAAGCGGAGGAAATCTTTGTAATTACTGTTCTAATAGGGAATATATTTTTTGTATTAAAAAGTCATGTCTATCACAGAGTCTGCTTTATCCACTTCTAGTGCATATTGCAGTCCAGACACAAAGTAGAAGCTTCAGACGAAGCAATTGAAAAGAGAGAGGCATGAAAAGTATGTGATATTAGCTGCAGTCACTCAGTTTTGAGGCCAGTAGGAACTGCCTCATTTTGTTCATGTTTATATTTGGGTTTTTTGCTAAAATCAAACCTAAAAATGAGAATCTTCTAATAATGACATTTACACGAAATAAATCAGGGGACAAGTATGTTAACTAATGCTGCTCTGTGGCCCTTTGTGAAGGAGAAATACCTTTTTAACTTTTATACAACCATAGAATGGTTTAGGTTGGAAAAGACCTTTAAGATCATCAAGTCCAACCATTAATCTAGCACTGCCAAGTCCACCACTAAACCATGTCCCTAAGCACCACATCTACACGTCTTTTAAATACCTCCAGGGATGGGGACTCAACCACTTCCCTGGGCAGCCTGTTGCAATGCTTGACAGCCCTTTTGGTGAGGAAATTTTTCCTAATACCCAATCTAAACCTCTTCTGGTGCAACTTGAGGCCATTTCCTCTTTGTGTCCAGTTAAAGGTAATAACAGTGTTCTCTTTTTAGTTAATAAATTAATATTTCAGGAAGAGAATTACACCTCACTTTCCTCCCTGTCACAAAAAATAAATCTGTTTTTGTGTTGGCCCAGGACATGAAGTCTGGTTGCCCTTTTGTAATGTGGCTTTTGATGTATTACTTCTAAGTTAATGTCTCTTTCCTTATAGATTGGAAAGTCCAACTTACACACCATCTCACCAACTGCATACACCCCAGCAGCCTTATTCGTCTGTTCCAGGTAACAATTTACAAATGGGTGGAAGAGGCAGTGAGACAAGGTGTCTTCTTCTAAGTAAATTGCTATCTTGCTTATATTTATTCAAACATTATTTATGCAGAAATTGCCGGGAGAGCTTTACGTGAAAGGCTAATGAATAAGTTCTGTAACTTATGAAATGTACAAATGGGAAGTTTGTGTTTGTACCTCTTATATTGTGTATATTTTTTTAATTTGACTTCTGTTTTGATTATGTGGAATATGGCTTACAAGTATTTGTAGTATATTTTAGTAGTATTTGTAGTATATTTTACTCAATAGTAAATTCTTTGAGAGATGAGGGGTGTAATATGTATTCAGGATGAAATTGACTCAGTTGCTCTACTTGTATTCTCAATATAAAAACACTTTTTTGCCGTTGCAGTGTTCTAAGTAGTGAAGCAAACTAATTTGTTAAAGCAACAGAAGGTGATGTTAAAATCTTTTTTCATAGCAGTTACTTTGGGTTCTATTTTAATTTCACTTAGGAGTCATCAGAAGGTCCACATCAATGTCTTATGTAGATGGGTATGTAGGGACATGGCCCAAAGAAAAAAGGTAAGTAGTCTTACCATATGAGTTGGTTAAAAAATGATTATGTATTGGTCATAAATAGTAACAAGTGCTCCATTGTAGTTTGGATTTTCAGAATCCTGTAATAAGAGTTCTTGTAAGCAACAAAGAAAGCGAAAACTGTATCATGGATTAAGAACTCAGTAATAGGAAACAAACTTCAGAAATAAATCATCTTTTTTTTTTTACATTGAAATGAGGTATATCTGTGATGTTTGAATTGTTGACATTAAATATGTTCACATTTACTCATCGCAATCAAATAAAAGTGGTAAGAGTCACATGGCTAATGAGCTCAGTAGTATTTAAATTTGTACTATTTTGTGGATAGTAAGAGCAGTCAGTCTGAATGTTTTGTTTTTCAGTTAGACCAGTCATAAACTCTTGATTTGTAGGGTGTAAACTGAAGTTAAAATGGTAAGAGTTATAGTGGTAGGTTATTCAGTAAGTGTAAATTGTGTGTCTTTTCACACCTTCCTTCTGATCTACTATGGCAATTCCTATTTTCCTAAAGTGCCTAGAATTTATTCCAAAGTAATAAAAAGTATTTGCTATCTCTAAAGAAAATGTTGTTATATTCTAATTTATTGTACATTTTAATTTATTATATCTATTTATTAAATGGATATAAAATATGTGTATAATTATGTATTTATTATGTTATATTTGAAGCTAGGCAAAATACAGTGCACCTTAACAGTGTCTTTAATACTAGAATCTTAAAATAATTTTAAAATCAAATGTGACTATTTCATTATTAGTCATGAGTTGCTCAGTTATTTCCTTTATTCTAATCTCTGTTAGGTCATCGTTACATGGAGTTTCATTTGACATTTCTTTTGACAAAGAAAAAAGCATTCCAGTATCTACTCCAGACAGAGGAATTACTAGATCTGTGAGCAATGAAGGCCTTACACTAAACACCAACCGCATGCCGAAGCATATTAGAAAAAATCTGTCCTTCAAACCAGTAAATGGAGAAGAGGAAAATCAAGATATTGAAGAGGAAAAGGACACAGTAGCTCATAAAGACACAAAGGCCAATCAGTCTCCTAACACAAATCAAAAAAATGCCAATGAGAGCAGCCACTACAGGTTTCCAAATGGAGCTCTGCAAAATAGGGCAGTTCTGGATGATTTTGGCAATCAGATTGAGACACCAAGCATTGAAGAGGCTTTGCAGATAATTCATGACACTGAAAAATCTCCCAGAGTTATCCAACCAGACCAAATCACAAATGGGTTCTTTCTTCACAATCAGGAAATGAGCATCTTGAATTCAAACATTAAACCAAATCAGTCTACCCCTGATACAATTACAGACACAAAAGGTGCTCTAAGTCCTGTGACTGACAATACAGAAGTAGATACCGGAATACATGTTCCTTCAGAAGATATTCCAGAGACGATGGATGAGGATTCTTCTTTGAGAGATTATACTGTAAGCATGGACTCTGACATGGAAGAACCATCTAAATTTCTCCAGGATTATGACATGCGAGCTAGCAATCACAGAGATCAATTAAGTCCCTGTCCCAGCTCAGTAAGTACTAAATCACAGGCAGGCAGCAGTGCTTCTTCAAGTTCGGGGGTTAAAATGACAAGCTTTGCAGAGCAGAAATTCAGGAAGTTGAATCACACAGATAGTAGAAGCAGTGGAAGCAGTTCTCAGAAAACCACACCAGAAGGTTCTGAGCTGAACATCCCTCATGTGGTTGCTTGGACTCATATTCCTGAGGAGGCATCTGTTCCTCAAGGAAGAGACACTACACAGTTACTGGCTTCTGAAATGGTACATCTTAGGATGAAGCTAGAGGAAAAGAGGCGAGCCATTGAAGCACAGAAGAAGAAAGTTGAAGCTGCATTCACAAAGCAGCGGCAGAAAATGGGAAGGACAGCATTTCTTAATGTTGTGAAGAAGAAAGGTGATGGAGTATCACCTCTCCGAGAAGAAGCAGCAGGAGCTGAAGATGAGAAGGTGTTCACTGACAGTAATCGGTTGAAAGAAAAAGACATTAAAAAATCAGATGAACAAACTAGTAAGACTTCAGAATTAATAAAAGAAAATCCTGAAAATTCTCATAGCAAATGGATAAAATCTCCTGCTACTCCTATGGATGGTGAAAAGCAATGGAATTTAGCAAGCCCCTCGGAAGAAAATTTCAATGAAGGAGATATCTTAGAATATACAAAATCTATTGAAAAATCCCTACACTTTCTACAACAAGAAATGCAACGTCTGTCCCTTCAACAGGAGATGTTGATGCAGATGAGAGAGCAACAGGCTTGGGTTATTTCTCCTCCTCAGCCTTCTCCTCAGAAGCAGATTCGGGACTTTAAGTCTTCATCAAGGCAAATGGGAACTCCATCTCCCATTGCACCTTTCTCACAGGAATCTCCTCGCTCTACACATCAATCTCCACAGTCTTCCAACAGGAAGAATGCCTCTTTTCACATTAAAATGCAAAGGACTCCTAGGCCAAATGAACTGAAAATAACACCTCTAAATCGTACCTTGACTGCCCCGCGGTCTGTGGATAGTCTTCCCCGTTTGAGGAGATTTTCTCCAAGTCAGGTTCCTATTCAGACTAGATCATTTGTTTGCTTTGGAGATGATGGTGAACATATAGGTGAACCTCAGTTAAAGGGAAATCTTTTGAAGGAAGTCAAGCCTACAGAAGAGGTAGCAAAAGAAGGAGGACCAAAATTGCTGAAACAGTGTGAACAGAAGTTAGAGGAAAAGGAGATCAAGCCTATTGAATCTAATGTTTCTGAAGTATTATCTCAGCCTATCACAGAAACTGTCTGCCTCACCCCAAATGAAGATCAGCTAAGCCAACCAATTTTACCAACACCAGCTCCCAAAACAGCTAACTTAATTGAAGTTTCCCTATCGGATTTGAAGCCACCAGAAAAAAATGAAGTATCTGTTGAGAAATATGAAGGTGAGAGTGATAGAGAACAATTTGAGGATGACCAGAAAGTGTGTTGTGGATTCTTTTTTAAGGTAAGAGAATGTGTATTCTCTAATGTGTATTCTCTAATGTGGATGTGTATTCTGCTATTAAACTTCCTTTGAAAGGGAACTTGTTAATTCAGATATGGATTTCAGTGGTGACTTTCCACTGAAGTCAAAGCAGATGGTTCTGCAACTCTAAATGTACAAGCATATCTTTTGCACTTAATGATTAACTTGGCATTGTAAGAGTGGTGAGATTCTACCATACTGCAGTTCTGAGCATGTCAGAGTATCCCTTTCCATTAATAGTTGTGGAAGAGTGCTTGGAGTTTTTGGTGAGAAAGATGCATGCTGAATTTAGATTTATTTTTAACATAAGCTTTCGTGACCTCAGCATGCTCACATCTCACCCTCACTTCCCCATCCCACCCGCAAATTTAACTAAAAGTTTTTGAAGTACATAGCAGTCTGCATTTTTTAAAAAGTTGAACATCTCTGAGTTGCACTTTGCAGAGCCTTTTTCCCTCTCTTGGCTGGCTAAGAAGGTAGAGTCTTCCAAGGCTCCCTTTTGAAGTTGGTATTTGGGAGCACTCCCTGTTGTCTTATTAAAGAGTTATATTCAGACAGGCTTTTAACTATAAGGCACACTGTAAGAGAGTGGTCTAGACACTGGAAGCCATCAAGATTTTGAATTTCCATCTTGGAATACTGCAAAATCTTGTGTCACGTATCTGAGATGCGCCTTGCTTGTCTGGAAGCATTCCTCAGTTCCAACAAAACACCTGGTTTGATCAGCAGAAGTTACTTCTATATGCTGCATGGTTATTGCTTTTTGTGATAAATTACCTTTGTCTCCATACTTCCAAAGCCGAATACAGAAGTCTAGGCAGTGTGGGATCTGACTCTAAACTAAAATATTTCACTTAGCAAATTTTCTCATATCAGTGTTGAATTTTATGTTTGACTTAGGAAGGAAAAATTCCTTTATGAAAAGTTTTTAGTAGTCTTAAGAAAAGTATTTTAAAATCAACTTATTTCAAATACTGCAAAATACGTTAGGATATTGCAAGCCAGTGTACAGAATTAAGCGTCTAATGACTTAGCAAAATCAATTGCTGAATTCAGAGATCTTAATGTTTTTGGGTCGTTTTCCTTCAAATACTGTTGCTGCTAGGATGATCAAAAGGCAGAAAATGATATGGCAATGAAACGAGCAGCATTATTGGAGAAGCGTTTGAGAAGGGAGAGAGAGACTCTGCTTCGAAAGCAGCAGCTGGAAGCAGAACTAGAACATAAGAAGGAAGAGACAAGGTAAAACTACATGTCCTGATCCAAATTATCAGTAACAGTGAATGTAAAAATGTCTGGTTTAGTTAAAAGTGTAACGTCCATGTCAAAAAATTGCATCTTGATATCCAAGATATTTAATTCTAGAGCCAGATGTGCTGAGGAGCCCAGCTTGAAGACACATGCCAGCCGGTCCTGCAAAATCAGCATATGAGCCCTGCTGGCCTGAGTGAAGCTCCTTACAGCACTACCCTGCTCTGTACTTTATATTCTGAGGGAGAGCGTGGCACTTTCTGCACAAATGCACAATGCTCACTCAGTTACAGCAGTCAAGCTAATAAACATGGTTTTGATTTTACTAGTAACAGTATCCCAAAAAGTTTAAACTGTCTGAAAATTGTAAAAAAGGCAAGTTCTTACTGATGTCCGAGAACTCTGAAGTTCCAAAAAATCTGATGCCTCTGTTGTCCTCATTGTGCTAGCTAAAACTGTTAATTTGGAAAGCTTCTACTGCTGAATTTATTTGTTTTTTTAGACGCAGAACAGAAGAAGAACGTCAGAAGAAGGAGGATGAACGAGCACGGCGAGAATTTATTAAACAGGAATATATGAGAAGGAAACAACTAAAGCTTATGGAAGAAATGGATACTGTCATAAAGCCACGTTCCCTCTCAATCAAACAAAAAAAGCCACGTCCAAAATCTATTCATAGAGATCATATTGAATCACCCAAGACACCGATCAAAGGTCCACCAGGTAATAAATGTTCATGTGGAAAAAGAGTCTGTTCATGCTAAAACACCAGCTTGTTTTTTGGTACTAACAAGCACGTGCATTTATTAGTGTCTTGTGCCAAATTGAAGCTGCACGTGACCAAACTGGAAAGTAAGATTTACCAATAGAAATGAAAAGATGAATGTCGCTTACCTGCTATGCATGCATGCATATATCAACAAACAAAAAGGTTAACTGTATGAAAACCCAGTGGAAGCACTAACGTGTGTTGCAAGTTGCATACACAGCCATGTATTCTTCACTAATCTCTTCTTGCACCTGTAGAGCTAAGAATGAATAAAAGTTGGGAGATAAGAGATTGATTAAAAAAAACGGTGATTATAAGGTAAGAGTACTTAAACTCCTGCTTAATACAGACAAAATTAAAATAAAAAAGTTACTTTTATGTTCCATGTTTTTTTCTATTTCGCTCACTTACCTACTGCATGTAGAGTTAAGAACATAGCACTACTAATCATGTGGAACAATTTAGCATTCTTTTAGATATCACATAACTACATTAATGATTGGAAGAAGTATTGCCAATTTAGAATTAGAAAAAAGGAACCAGACTGCTCAGTGCTCCTTTTTGTTACAGCATCGGATAGCCTTGTTATTCTGCTGCATTTTCTCTAGCTGCTTCTCTCCATCTTCCAATGTAATTTAAAGTATTCCGTTAACACCTTTAACACCTTCTAAGAATCCATCCCAAGCTTTAAATTAAGTCTCTTAATCCCTCTTTCATGAGGACTTATTAACTTTGATTGCATTCTTTGGTTTGCATAGTGCCAATATTCCCACGTCCATGCTTCACATTAGTGCTTAGTCTGAGACCATCCCAGGCGGCTGCAAATGGCTGGGTGTCAGCAAGTGTTTAGATGAAGTGCACCACATATGCATGCAGGTATATCATGTATGGGTGTAAGAGTCTCGTATATACAAGTTCTTACCGACTTTCTGATGCTGGTGTTGGCTATAATGAACAGACTCTACTACTTGCATAGGTTTATAAGCCTTAACTTTGTTTTTATCCAGGTTCACAGCTTTATCGTGTTTTTTCAGTATCTAGTCTTTCATTGGCATCGCTGAATACAGGGGACAATGAGAGTGTGCAGTCAGGCAAGAGAACACCAAGGTAAAGCTAAAATAACCATTTCATTTAATAAAATTTGATAATCAGCTATGTAAAACTAGCATGAATTTTAAAGAGGTCATATATATATTGTGTACTCCAAGAACAGGTATGATTTCCTGATTTGAGACATTGATTGTTTCCACTGTCAGGCATTAGGGAACCAAGCCATGATCATTTGTTTCACAAATTTTACCAAGTAAACCAGTTGGGCAGCTATAAATCAGGTCAAAACAAAATGCTGTTCACACAGCCTCTTTAATTCACCTGCTTGTATTTAAGTCTCAACTTGTGGATATTTTATTAAACCTGTATGCTATGTGCAGCTGCATAGCTTCTGCTCTTTTTTTAACACAGAAGCTTCTTTTCTGTTTTTTTTTTTTTTCCCTTAGCAGTCATACAGGGAAGTATTAAATGTTCACTAGGACTTCAGTATTTTCCAAACACCAGAATTTATTTTGCATTAAAAATCACCTGAAAATGAAATAAAAAAGAGCTAAAAATAACAGAAAAATCTTAATTTTATATACAAAATCTGTATTATCATTCAGAGGAAAATTATTATTTCTGTGTAACTACGTAATTATGTTCAGAGAAATACTATTTTTTTGTATAGAAAAGTAGGAAAGAAAAGCAAACTAGGAAAAGGGGTTTGATAAGGAGTACTACATGTTACAATATCACATCATGTTTTCATCACTGCTGACATGCCTGCAGCTGGTTTCAGCTGACTTTTCAATTTCCTTGATGTCTTGAGAACTGACTTGCTGGTTATTACATAAGAAACTTTAATAAAATGGTGCAAGTACCCTAACAGCTCTTGTCATCTCTTAAAAATTATCAGTTTTAATTGAGAGGGGGATTTCTTCCAGCTATATTAGCTACTAGAAAAGGCTTGATGTTGCTTATCTACACAGACTTTACAGGAGATGGTCCCCATCTATATAGTTTTAGTTGTACACTACTGTATTATGCTTGTAATGAACAGTACATCTTCCTCTGGCTTTGGATTTGATTTAGGGGGTTGAGACTTTTAAAATATGATAAAATTCAGTACAAATTGCTGAAAATAACGGAGTTGAGAGAATTTTCAGTATCTTTCCAGACCCATACTTTCACCATTTCCTCACATCAGAATTGTCTTTTGATGATCACACTGAATTTCAGTGATACCTTTGAGGTCTCCTTCATGCAGGTGCTAATCACAAAAGGTGTAGGATATATTATAAGTTGAATTTCATCTATTTCTGATTTTATTGGACATTGGTATGCAGATAAATTTTATTATACCACTTTTTTTCCTTATTCTTTGCTAGTAGTGCCTTTCTTCTCACTTAGAAAACGTTTCATTCCAAGCTGAAAATTTGACTGGCATTTGCAGCAGCCACAATCAAAAAAATTTTAAGTATCTTGTAATAATTTAAGAAAACATGACAGTCTTGCTCAGACCTTTAAATGCAAAACTATTCACATTTGAGTAAAGATACAGCCTAAAGAATTACAGCACCAGAAGTTACTGTTTGTGAAAACAAAAATTAGAAAGGAAATTGTTTTGCTGTCTTAGATACAGCAGTTCTCACTGCCAATTGTTGTAATGATAAGCATAAATGAACTAAATTTTTACTTCACATTCATCATTCTATCAAGAACTGACTTGTTTGCTACATGAGATAACACTCTTTTGCTAGTACCAATGTAAAAGTAACCTGAATTCCGACTTAGTAATAACATTTCCACAGCCTAGAATATCTATTAGGTTTCTGTCCCTCAGATATAGCCCCAAAAACTTACTAACGTCCACTTCACCTAAATACTAACTTCTTGCATCACTCAAAATACTTTATATTGAATATGAACTCAGTTATCCATTAATTTCTTCTGTAAATATTGTGCATTTAGGTTTATAGTCTACAGTTCAAATCATTGTGTTGTACCTTAATACAGTTTGCCTTCCTTTCACATTAGAAGGCTTCTCTGGTGAACATTAATTTTAAAATCTATTACAAAAAAATTGCAATGTTTAGGTCTGAGTCTGTGGAAGGATTCTTATCTCCAAGTCGCTGTGGTAGTCGTAATGGAGAAAAAGATTGGGAAAATGCATCTACAACTTCTTCAGTCGCCTCTGCTACAGAATATACAGGTCAGTGAGAACAATATTCAGAAAAGTACCTGGCTGTTAGTGGTTCTATGCCTCAAAAGTTTTCAATTATCTTTATCTGGTTTCCTAAGACTTGATTGAGGATGCTTTCATAGAAATGTTACTTTCACCTCCTTTAAAATACATGGTAATAATACAAGGTTAAAATTTTAAATTACTCCAGTAGCATTTGTGATAACCAGAATAAACTGCAGTTAGGCTCAGAGCAGCAACTGGGCTCACAGGTCACTGTGCACTTCAGTAGTCTCTCTAGCAAGGCAGAAAGAGTTGAAATTTAAACTCAATTTAGAATAGAGTTACAAAAAGCAAAAATCTAATTTCAACAGGAAAAAAATCTGCTTGGTAATGTGAATTTAAATATTCTGCAGATTTGTTTCCAAATAGATCCTTTGTTGTTTGTTAAAAACTTTACAATCTGACTTCTAATTCTTTATTATATTATTAATCAAATAATAATGGTATCTCCATCCCTTTTCTCCAAATATACAGCACGTGATATTGCAAAGACCTTGCATCATCAGGATTATAAAAGCTCCATTTTTGCCCACCTAATACTGCTTTATTTGGTAAAAAGTAAAATAACATTAGGTATTTTCGGTAAACTTTTAGGGAGATCAGGTTTGATTGATGGGCCTGCTTAGCTCTGTCTGTGCTGGCAAATGTTTGTTTTGAGAATAATCTTATCTCCTTTCCACTGAAATGACTACAGTCTGGAAAGACAAAGTGTTCATTCTGAAAATCAGAAAGTATTTACGTGTTTTTAAATCATGAAACTTCAGTCAGTTTGTGTCACTTTGTGCCACGTGCATGTCAAATTAAATTACAGGAGGGATAGTGAGACTTTGCTTGGGTGGTCTTGCTGAGTTTTCTCATGAGGACCCATAGCGCTGAAGATCATCTTTTAACAATTATTATGTACAGCTTATTTTTAAATGAAGGAATATACGGTTCCTAGGAATTGAACAGAAGGCTTTTTTCACATTTTAATATCTTCACTCAGTCAGATTTCATACAGCTTTTTTGTGTTGATTCTAGGCTTTTTTCCCCAAAGCATAGACAAACTGAGATATATTAAATTTAATTGGTAATTGCTTGTATATTATGTTCCTTTCTAAGTCTCGGAATGGGTACTTACATGTAGGTTTTTTCAAATGGTCCTGACACAAGTATGCATATATTTCAGAAATTAAAACAGAGGAGATTTCTCCTTCAACCAGATGAATCAAGTCTTTTTACAGACAGAATAACCTAACCAGATTTTTTTATCCCTGGTTTTGGGTAAAACATTTTTGGAATTCCAAGGTGGACAGGCTGCAGTTACTCTAAGCACTGCAACAGCTTCATTGTTACACTTCTCACCCTTGAAATCACAAATGTAGATGAAGAAAAAGAAAGAATTTGCTCCCTCCTGGATGTCGTGGTTTAGCCCCAGCCAGCAACGGGCATCTATGTCCTGGTTTAGCCCCAGCCACCAACTAAGCCCCACGCAGCCGCTCACTCACTCCCCCTACCCCAGTGGGATGGGGGAGAGAATCGGAGGAGTAAGAGTGAGAAACACTCCTGGGTTGAGATAAGAACAGTTTAATAATTGAAACAAGGCAAAATAGTAATGATAATAGTAACAATATAATAATGATAATA